ATATCTGACTGAGCAACTAGGTTACTTTTAAAGAACGATCATTAAATGGAAATTGTACATCTACTTCGTGCAAAATTTATGGTGATTTATGCTTGTGATCGCAAAAGGTAGGTGTAAAGCAACAATTTCATGCAGATAATGATCTGAGTAATTCAAGTCCTGTGCAAAAAGGCATGATCGCACGGGCCCGCCCGGTGCGTTCAAGCCTGGGTTAATTTTTGGAATGATTGTGGTATAAGGCTTTTAATATTAAATGTAACTGCAACCGAAAGGGTATTTTTTTTCCGAAGGAGAGGGAAAAGACAAGAGAGAAGAAAAGTTGTAAAATGAAGAACTGATTATAGATTTGGTAAACAGGAGAAGTGAGGCTTGAATCTGCGGAATTTTAAGTTCACTTCTCTAATGGATCTGTTTTCATACAGAGCCAACGCAGCAATATAGCGCCTTTGATTCAGTTTCCGTTTAAATGAGTTTAAACGGGCTGACAAGTGCTTCGTGGCGGTAGTCTTGCCTCTGTAGTGAAAACCGCTAGTGCGGCAACAGCAAAATGAACTGCAAATTTGCTTGGAAAAACTCATCAGTGACGCCTTCAATAGGTTAAAATAAACTTAATACAAAAAACAAAATAAAATAAAATAACAATTAAAATAAAATAACAATTAGAAAATAATGTACTGACGGGCATAGCGCAGTGTGGGTATTACCGGTGTTATTGCAAAGGGTAGGGGTTCGACCTTTCCAGTGGAACAACCAACCCTTCTATAATTCGTTCCCTCGTTTTGATCGTAAATTGGTACTGACATATGCCAAAGTATTAAACCCTTCATCAGCATGCTTAACTCTTGAGAGAACAAGCTATCCGCGGCTTTCTCAGTGGGTGTTCTGCTTTTGGCACTTGCTACTCTCGGAATACGAGTGTTTCTGCCTCTCGTAGGAAGTGAATACAGACAGGGTTCTGTCTTTTTGATAAAAAGATAAGCACATACGCATTTGTGCCAAAAACATACTAACTTGTCCTTGTCAGTCGTCTGCTCCAGCATATTATTTGCTTGTATGAGAATAAGCTGAAAGCATTTTTAAAGGCTTTCCTAAGTGCCAGCACACACTTCATGTTTGTTGCGGAGGGCAACACTAGGATGAAGACAGAAGTTCCACGGCGTAGGGATCTATAATTCTACTACCTACGAAACATCCGTAGTCTTTCTGTCAGATACACTGCAACTGTGCTGATCCGACAGTAACCTAATGCAGTGCAGTTCATGTATATATATTTATATGCAAATATGTTATGTGATTCCACCAGACCCCTTTTTATAAGCGTGCACTTGCAGTAGCGCTGCAATAAGTAGCCGATAGTGACGCTCCAGAGCGAGCAGCTGTTTGGCAGACATTCCACCCTTCGTACCATGCGTCGTACCTCTGCCTGGGTGTGTCCTTTTGCATCACAAAGAAGGCCACCTGCCTTTTTTGATTCCCTCAAAACACATCAAAACTCATATTTCAATAAAGCTGGCATCAGGTGGCCAAGAAGCAGCCAAAACCCAGCGGCCGAGTCTGAAAAGACATTGAATTTTCAGCATGGTCTTCTGGCGTGAGTGTATGTGAGAAATCGGCGAGAATTGGAAAGTGGGCGCTGCTTGTGAAAGCTCGCATTAGGATTTCCAGTGTGCTCTCCGCTCTCACTGATTTTTAGGCATTTTGAAAAAATGTTTCTGTTTACCACTAGGCACACGTTTATAAACTTGTGTTAGTTACTCCATTCACAACATTCTCCTTCTTTTACTGAAAAATTAGATCTACAAATTCGCTAAAATACTGCATGTAGTCACATTTTAAAGCTCACAATATTTTTGTAGAATTATGAGTAACATTATTGGCCCATTCTACAATTTCCTCCTTACAACGCTACTCTCTTAGCACCGAATTTCATTGTGTGTGGTACTCAAATCCAGAAAATGGGTGATGTTAAGCTGAAAAAAATGACGCTAAAAGCATGTTGATCAAAAAAAAAAAAAAACAATGTCAAAAACTCCCCTTTCAGGAAAATTTTATTACAGTTATTTATTACAGAGCAACAAAAATATGCTGCAACTGTACTGTCTTTATTCACATTTCACAGCTGTTGCAATTTGCATATAGCGACAAGGAAGAGCCACTCAATCGTAGGCGGAGGAAAGGAGAAAGGAGGGAAGAAGAAAACGGACAATAGCAGCTCTAAAAACTCATTTGAGGAAATCTGGAACCTCAAATGGGTTCACTGCAAGTGTTTTACCCCTAACCACCAAACAGATGGGTTTGTTATCGGAATATAAGCAACGACACCTTTAATGGTCTAATCATTTTCAACACTTCGTCATTCAGCAGTAATGCTAGGGAAGCCTTGCTCAAGCTTTAGACTTTTTTACTAAGAGAAGTTGCCAATACCCGAGCCTTTTTACTCAAATGTCTGAAGACTTTTTTATTGTGACGAATTGTCTTCATCGCCCTCCGTTACACAAAATTCTATCCAGCCAATTTGCTATGGAATGCGAAAAATAAAATCTGCATGGGCAGTGAGATGCAATCCATGCCGGATCTGTGAGATAGTTCCTAGCAGGCCGTGAAGCGGTCAGCGAAATAGCCGATGCAAGAGCAGCTCAGTCAGTTTAAGTCGTATTTTTTTATCATGTAATCAAAAGCGACTTGCAGCAACTTAATCTTATATAGGCAGCCTCGACGCACTGAGGCCCATCTCCACAATCTCAGCTTCCTATTTCCGCAGTTTTGAAATCACCTTGCAAAACAAAAGTGTCGGAAGTTTTTTATTCGCATTATTTCGCGTGAAAAAAAAGAAAAAAAAAAGGACAGGCGGCGAGCTAGATCTTTGTTTACAACTAAGAATGATAGGAGAACAGTTATGGTATGCGTTCTGCACCGTCTTCAGAGTTTATTCCGTTCTGGTATGATAATTTCCGTGAAAAAAAAGGTGCCTGATTTGTTACAAAGATGAGCAGTCATGGCGGAATGTATTTCTTGAAGCAAGGACGAGAGAAGCCCCTAAAGACGGAGAGACAGACAAGCGACCCTAGATGGATAGTGTCACTAAGTACATCAACTATGAGCGGACAATCACGCATCCGAGCACCTTCCGGTGACCGATTGTTTTTCCAATTAACACGCAACACTAAATTATATTTAATTATCTTCTAAAATAAATGCACAGCACGATTGCATGTGCAAATACCAGTGCACTAGCATGATGAACCCAGCCTACGGATGAACCTTTTCGTCCGTTAGGTGACCCGACAATATGGCGTCTTTAGTACCTCAGAAATATAGGAGAATTTACCGAGACAGATCGTATGATACTTCCCAAAGACTTTAAAAATTAGAAGTTTTAGCCAAAAATCTCGCGCAAGTTTGAAATTGCCTGATATTTGCGCAGTCAGAAAGAACAACTGAATGTAATACTACTTTTAATAAAACTCAGATATTCTGCAAAATTGCTGCGCCAAAATTAACAACCAATAAAGTCCTAGCAAATAGAAAATCGTTGCACAAGGCCGAGCGATCATATAACATTTGATTTATATCTTGAGACTAGAAATAAGTTTTTTCTGAAATATTACCATAGCTTTGCGGAAGACCTTCCTAATTTAGGCTTAAAATTTTTAGAAAGAACAGTTAGTTTCAATAACTATTTTAAATGTTCTCTAGATTCATGTTAAATTCAGGTCCTCTTGGCTGCAGTAAAACCCTTTACCAAAGGATAGTCATGAGTGTGCTTACTTGAAGGCTTCTCATTTTCATTTCTAGCATCCATATGTGCTATTTAAATTTTTGAAAGAGAATGCGCAGGTGAAGAGAGAATGAGAACTAAACAAAAGAAATAATTAGGACGTTCGTTTCTTTCTAGGCTCGGGGGTCTTCAAGCCAGCAACTGTTCAGGTCAATGCGTTTCTCTGTTCTCAAAAATAGAACCCTCAAAAATGAGTTAGTTTGAGAAAAGAACTGTACAGGTGCGTGGTGACTAAAGTACATAGCAATTTGCAGCATCAGTGAGCCGTTAAAGGACGCCAAATGGAGCGATCAGCACTTTGTCTCACCCAGACTGACAGCTATTCCTTATTTCTCCAAACCTTTTTTTTTTCTAATTTTCGATGAATCTGGATAGTTCTGCAGTTCCTTTTCAGACTCTACACTCGTACTTCAATTTCATCACCAAAACGCAAAAAGTAGTTTATTTTTTGCAAAGAAGGTTAATTGAAATTTCAGGAAAGATTAATTGTAGGCACACGTCATACTGCAGAAGAACAGAAAATAGATTTTGTTACGGATTATCAAAAATATACGAAAGAAACGCACTCTCAAACTTTAGATCAGTCAGCAGAATTTTAAATAACTGAATAGCGCACTGAAAGCCAGTTCTCTTATTTTTATGAAAGGTGATAAGTTTTCGCGTATGTATAATAACAATCCTTGCACTTTGTGACCTCTTTGAGCCACATATTTTTAAACAGTACAATTCATTAGGAGTTTTCTAATTTATCTAAAAAGCACTCTGAAACCAAATGCATATTTTTTCTTTCTAAATTACTCTAATTCTCCCAAATTTTTCCGGAAAAATACTGAAAAGGAGCCGCTTGTACAGCTGCGAATTTTCCTTAACAACATCTGCTTGCTAAATTTGCTGAAAAATCTCCTCACACTCCACCTATGGAAAAAGGCAAAAAACCAAAAAGGATGTTGATTCAACAAGCAACAGCAACGAGGCCGACTAAAAAACCTCCACTAACTAGGGGAGCAGCAACAAATGGAAGAGATGACGGGAAATTCGAAATGAGAGTAACAAGCATCGAAAATTGGGGTCCTACATTCCGACTCCAGAAATGACCAACATTTCATCATTATCAGCAGCATTACTAAGCCAACGGCTACAGTTTGTTTTTTTTATTTTTGAAAATGAAAAGCTGATCTGTATGCCGAAAGCTGGTAGCAAAAGCACTCTTTCATGGCTTTTCACGGAAATTATTGCTTGCTCAGACTAGTTCATTTGTGTGAGCATAGTATGCTTGCCATTACAATGAAAAGGGCCGTATCACCACTGGTGACGAAACCGACACCATTCTAAAAACTAGACCGAGTGAATTTTAGAACGAAACCCATCTATGGTATCAGTTGCGAGGAACGTGTCATAAAGCACAGGTAATGAGTGCACTTTGATGGATGAGTACTGGTCGGCAACTCGTCAAACATATGCCGTCGTTTGTACGCATATCCTTGCGAGCAGAGTTGCCATTCATTATCCAGTAATCACCAGAGAAGATCCTGGCACAGCTCTAGGGCATTTTGCTGCACTTCAAGCAGCTCTTCAGAAAATTCAGTTCTCAAAGTGAAAATTCAGCCCGCTGTCTCCCCAACCTCTCTTACTTTCAAACAGCTGAAAGAAATGTAGCATCATTTGCACACATCCTTGAGCGTCTACATTTCACAGGCAGCTCATCGAGAGAAGATGTTTTTGTGCGAATCGCCATAATGTCAGAAATAAAATTATTTTGTACCACTACCTTCACTTAACTGTGCAGACTGAGAGATTGCGTACGCACAGCATTTCTCCAGTTCAACTCATTTTTTTATAATATTTTTACATACATGAAATACAGGTATATTGGACAAATTAGGACGTGCGCATTTTGCACGATAGCGCTGTCTGCAAGTGGCTAAATATTTTTGCAGATTTATTTACAGTTTATCTATTTTTTGCCCAAATGTGCAAAAAAATTTGCAAAAACATCCAGCCACATGCAGATGACGTTATCGCGCAGAGTGCATGCTTCCAAATTTATGCATCGTGTCTTTCTTCACTTTTTTTATTTTGTGCGATGAATGCAGCGATTAGATGATTTTACAGCCAGTGCTTATTTTTGCTTCTTTTCAAAATATAGCCCCTCAGCTTTTACAATTATATTCAAATGAAACGACACACAGTTCAGTTGTTCCGAATACATAACTCAACTGCTACTGATGCTGGAGCAAGCAAGCGACGATGACTTAAAAGGAACTGATTCGTTTATGAGTTAGCCTGGAGACAGATTCTGCAACTATCTAAGAAACTGCTCCAAGACAATGTTCATATAGATTATGTTTAACAGGATAAGTGAAGAATTTATGATTTCAAGCTGACTAATTAATCCACGTTTGCCCATTTGCTCAGCACAAGAGGGTGGATTCTCAGAGGAGTTTAATTCGTAAAACAAACCTGAACAGGCCATCGAACGTGGAATGGTATGGTGAAATTATAGTTGCTGAAGAACTGGGTACCGGCAATAACCCGTGAATTGTGATGGAGCAGCGAACAATCGCGGTAGAAGTTACGGCGCTCGAGGCCAACTCCCACACAAACATGCACATATATTTGGCAGCGGCATTCTTCTTCTGGTCTTACTGAAAATAATCCGATCTTTTCTGCATGTTCTTCTTGGCCCTCGCTCATTCTTTCATTCGCGTAAACAACGATCAGCGAGGCAAACTGGCTCAGCAGTTCAGCAGTGCTTCCCGAATATCGATGCGTGCAATCATTAATTTCTGATAGGATTTATTTGTGATTATGCTCGTTTATGAGAATCGTATTAGGCGTATAATTTAAAAACAAATCATAACTCTAATCCAATGTACTGCGCCGCATTACGAAACTCATAAATGTATGTATCCTGTCCAGCTCATACATATAAACACTTATTAAACACAAATGCTTTTTAAATTTTCTTCCAGCTATGTGACAAGTCTTCTTCAGAAGCTGAAAGAAGAAAGGCTTAGTATTCTGTGGGAAGTTTTTTTACAACTAGTAAGCTCTTCTGAGTTCTCTTGGCAAAATCATAACTCTAATCCAATGTACTGTGCCGCACTACGAAAAGAATTCTTTTGGGTTCAGGAAGAATTCTTTTGGGTTCTCTTCGGCTATTTTATAGAGAGGGAATATTTGAGGTTTGGCCGTTATCTCTGTCAGTATTTGGTGACATTTTTTAAACAAAGCGTTCACAAGAATGGTTTGGGTAGCAGTTAAGACAAAAAGCTACAATAATATTCAGTGTTATGCATTGTTTTTGGATTGGAAAGCAAGAAAATTACTTGTAGCGCAACAAACTCCTTCACCCAGCGTTCTATCCATTTGAAATTCTTGAAGGCTGAACTTCACGAAGCCTGCATTCTGCGCACATTGAAAACTCTGCAAATAAAGTATCTTTAGTCAAAGACCAATGTAGATTTTTTTTTCATAGTTTTGAGGACTGTGGTTAGGATTGTAAAAGTAGCTATGCTGTTAAACAAAAACATGGCTCAGTCTAAGTATAATATGCATTTTATCGAACTCGATGCTATTTTACAGCATTCTTAGTTTCGATTTCCAGAAACAGAAATTACTCCATTTGCACACTAGTCTTCTGAGATTCTGGATATTAAAATAGTGGTGTATTAGGACTTTTTCAGGAGAAGCCCTCTTCTGAAAACTTTTTGCTCGAAGAGGAACTTTTAGCTGTTTTTAAAGGCGGATACTGAAATATTTTCTAACTTATGGATTGTTACTTAAACAGTGAGCGACTGTTTTAATAAAAAAAAGACAAAAGTTCTCTACAAACAAAAAGTATTTCGAACAATATCAGTTTTTTAGCATGGCAAAAATGTGAGAAACCAGCTGATACAGTCGTTTTGAATCAAAGCATTAGCTGACTCACGAATTTTATGTTTTCATTTTAACCATCACTACACATTCACAACTGACCGTTGATTGTCTTAACTTCTGCTGGATTTCTTTTGAATTTCCCGACTGGATTATTTTTTACCTCGAGCAGATAGTTATTACGATAAAACAAACAGAAGAGAGACAGGGAGGTTGTTGATGGTGTTGTAATAGTGGGATTAGGCGTAAGGTACTTGAATGTGTAAAACATATGTTTTCTTCCAAATATGGCACGTGTCAAGGAGCAATACCATCCTCACCTCTGTTCGCTCTTCAAGAATGCATCGATTGCCTAATCTTGTCTGCTGCAAGCAGTGAATGGATTCATTTCAAGTACATATTAGCTTTACTTAGCATTTTGCAAAGGGTCGGAAGCACTTTCTGTAAACTCTCCCGAAAAGAAGCGTTATTTGCCAAAATCATGGGAGGCGAGGGAGGAAGGGTTGCGTTTTTAGTGCTTGTCAAACGAGTTTTCTGGGATTTTTAAAATTCCATCACTTTAAATGGTTAAAAATTAGTTGTTTAGCTTCCCTAGGTGAAACGGTATTATGGAAGAGGGCAGCGGGAGAATTTTGGGCTGTTTTAAGTACCTCTAAACTAGGCCGCACCTTGAAGTTATTTGTGCATACTGACTTTTAAATGATATTAAAAATGACTAAATTTCAAATGATTTTAAAAACAAGATACGCTTCAGGAACAAACAAAAACAAGCAATGATTGGCGAATAAAGAACAAATGTTCCATTTGTGGTTATTTGAGGGATCCAGAAAAGAGTCTCTAAACCCATTGAATGAGTAGATGAAGAGATGCTTAAAACAAGTTAACTTTTTAAGAATTCGAGATTTTCTGACTGTCAACTTCTAAATTACGTAAAGACCAAGCATATTTAGTCATAAAAGTGTAAAGCCGGTGGATAAAAGAGAACAACAAAAAGCAGCACAATACAGCAAGGGAATTGCGAGATAAGCACAAAGATAACAACTATAAATCGTTGGGCAAACACGGATTTTTATGGCCAACAATGTCCAGGAATAATGACAGTATCCAACCAATAAATGGCGTCACGTCACGTAAATGACCGTTAGATTTTTTTGGAACTTTAAAACGGTGATTGCGAAGAGCTTTCAACGAGTCATTATTCAGCCTTCATCGGGACTGCTTACATTTCGTGCGGGGAAAACTGATATCACTGAGCTACTGTGGTGGGCCGATTTCTGCAGTGCCACTGCCCACTTGTTTAATACTTTCAATGAAAAGGTTATCGGAGCAGACATCTTTTCAGCAGATATTCGTCACACATTACCACAGCCAGCTTTCAGCCAATATAACAACTGCTTACAAAGCAGTGCGCAAGAAGAGACTCGAAATGCTAAACTAAAAAACATAGAAGCAAGCGTCGCAGTGTTGTGAAAAAGTCTGACATATGCGTCAAGACACCAGCTGCCAAATTAGAATCAAAAATGAATTCCAGAAATCACGAAGATCTATGAGTAGCGGAAATTGTGCTTGTCCCAAAAAAAGTTCCAGAAATTCAAGGCACTTTTTAAAAATTGCCCAATTTCTTTTGTTTATTATAGATGCCGCTCAGGTTAGATTTCCGAGAAAGCTGGTCATGGCAAAGCTGTACCTGATTTTAGTTGCGCTTCAAGGTACCATAAATTTCTTAGCGTGGGTCTAAATACTTTGGTAATTTTATCCTAACTTTTTCACTAAATTTCATCTACTTCTATGGCATTCATGTAGGAGCTATCCTATTAACTTCTGTTATTTGCGCAGCCGCTGAGAGCTAAAGTTTGCAGTTTTCCTCGTTCGAGTCAACTCAAAAGAACACTATGGTTGTTTCCAAGGTATAAATCAATCTCAGTTTATATTTAAAATGGGTCTCAGGTTGGAGCCTTATTTATAATCAAAGGCGATGTTCTTAAAAATTCAAAAATGCTACAGATATTTATAAAGATAAACTGTGAGCAGGAAAATGCGATGGAAGGGACCTGGATGGATACAAACTTAATAAATATCTTGCAAGGAGCTTTTCAACAACAGCTGATGAAAGGCAAACATAAACTGCATATTTAAAGGGAGGTAAAATGTTAAGCTTTTCTTTTCACGGGACTGTTCACAAGCTATAATAATTAAAGCAAAAGTTTAAATCCGCAGGCATTGAATTTCGGTGGCTAAAAGCCTAATTTGAACAAACTGAATTAAAAACTGAAAGTGGGCGCCAAAAGGTTGAAAAACACCTATTTGGTGAGTAGCTGCACTATCAGGTACGTTTTTTCTTCTTTGTAGTGAGATGTTAGTGATAAAAATAACAAATAAAACTAGCAAGTAAAAACAGATCACACAGTAAGGTAGGACGAACCAAAAAGTTTCCGGAAACACCGAAGGATGATTCTAGAAAAATCATGGAATCAGATGAAAGATTAGGAATAAGAGCTGTTGAGTGCTATCTTATCAGGGCGTCTGGAGAATGTCAGAGTGGAGTACTTCTTCAAGATAATTGTTCCATCTTAATGATCCACAAAAGTTTTTTGGAGCATGTCAAGTTCAACAAAGGGTTCAATCCAAAAAGAATATGGAATCGTAATTCGAAGAAGAAAAGTGAAGGGATTTCAGAATTCAGAGTCATCGCATTAACGAAACTTTGAGAGCAAAAAATACAGCTTTTTTAAAAATTAATTTTATAAAGTACGTTGAATTTCACATAAGATCGACTAAAAAATTCAAATAATGTTCCTGCAGTACTGAGATTTCCAGGTTATGATATTTATAGATTTTTCTAAGATCATTCGTGGTAACTGTCCGGGAAATCGATTTGCACCTCAAGATGTCATGAAACTGATGACGCTTCCGCACTTGGTTACCCAACTAGCGGAATTGAGCCCTTGAACCTTAGCATGAGTTGTTAAGTTCGTCTCTTCTTTACCAAATGCGAGGGCCATTTTAGAATATCTTGGAGTGATTATTTGATTTTTACATGTCATCTCCGGCTTCTTCATCACTGTAAGTGCATAGCGATAACGAAATTAAAATAAAAAGCAGTTCATACTATTAATTCATTCACCTCAGACCGATCACTAATTTCGTTCTTGAGTAAGAAAATGATCCAGTGCGTCAACATTCTTTTTGTAAGTAAGGATTAGGCTCTTCTAAACTCTGGCTGAAAAGCTCGAAATGCGTGTAAATTTTTAAATTCAAAGGTATGTAGAGTAAACCTACGTATCCATATTTATGGAAATTATAATAATATCGAAGTGTGGTTTCATTCTATTTCACTTCTCATGTGAAAACCAACTATATGAGATCAAATTGTTCTATTTTTCTGAAAACAGGTTATCCACATGGGCTTGTAACTGTTTCTCAGTAATGAAAGAAGCTCCAGTACATGGCCTGAGGCAGATCAGCGATTTAAAGCACAAACTCGTTCCAGTCCAATTTTTGGAATAATACTTTGCTGCTGTTGGTAACGAAAGACTCGTGACTGAACTAAAAAGGCATTTTCTGCTGAAAAGTTTGAAAAACAAGTTCTTCTCAATCTGTAATGCAGAGTTAATATGTAGCTCGTTCTTTCCACTAGATGCATCATGCTTAATACCAAATTAACTGCATCATATATAGAATCTTTTAAAATTACAACTTAGCCTTTATTTACCGAAAATCTCACCATAGTTAGCAAAAAAACTAGCATAAAAGGCATCTGGTTGTCTGTTCGACGACAACTTTTTGATGGCAGCTGCTCAGTATTCTCGAATATTTGACAAAATTAGGCGATCCTGAAATCTGCGATCTGTAAGCGGAGAAGAAAGTAAAGATAGTTCCGAAGAAAAGCCATCAAAATCGGAGGTCTCGGCCGTAGAATGAAACGCGTATGGTGCTCCATGCACACTCTTCACTGCTGTTGCTGCGCGGAAGCAACAAACCCCGCCCCTGGAGGGTACTGTCAGTGGTGTGATGAGGATGATGATGATCGAGAACACTCATGTTTGAATTGCTCTGGACCAGGTTTGGGCTGACACATTCAGCTAACAGTCGAATTCTACAGCACATCTAGGGTTGTTCTAGGCAGGGAAGGTCAAGGGCCTTGGAAAGGTGACCAAACATTCAAAAATTTTTTTGTGCAGGAGCCAAAAAATTCATTTGTATCTTAATAGCATTTTTATAAAAAATTAACTTCTTTTTTAATGAAATAAGCAAATTCAACACGCTTCTTAGGCAAGTCAGTGTTTTAACCATCCCACTTGTCCCTTTTGTTGACATTTCTGGGCTGGAAAAAGCGAGTAAAAAGGTAGCGACTGCTCTTCTCTATCGGCTATGAAAGTAGCACCGGGGAAAGAATCTAGAGGTTTTTGTTAGAAAAAAAATCTAAAGGTTCAACCACCACGAACAAAATTTGATTTACAGAGATGCAGAATTAAACCAGAAGAGTTGAGACCTTACCGACGAATAGGTGGCCGTTAAATTTAGCCAAAAAGGATTTACTTAAATTTACT